GAAAGTGAAGCAAATGAGCGTACGTAAATACAGAGATAATGACATTCATAGACAAAAACTCAAACTTTATAATATAAACATGTACAGCAACATTGAAAATAAAAAGAATCTAATTACACGTGTCAAACTGAAAAGGGAGGAGATAAAAGAAAACTCACAGCACATTGATTTTGTTATTGAACACTTTTTGGACAAAGTAAAAGAGGGGCCTGACTTTGTATGTTGTGTCTGCTTTCGATTGTTATTTAAACATCAGGTTTTGAATTGCAGAAGGGATTTTTATCAAAAAACCAAAGAAATGTCTTTAATAGCAGAAACTTGTATAAGTGAAGATTATGTGCACAGGTGCAATGATACTTGTACATTACCTTGTGACTCATTTCATACATCAGGAAACAAACTATACATCTGCTACACATGTCATTATAAAATAAATAAAGGTCAGATGCCACCTGAAAGTTCTGTAAATAATTTAACACTTGATCCCATTCCGCCTAAGTTAGCATGTTTAAATACTTTGGAGCAGCATTTAATAGCTTTACATATACCGTTTATGAAAATGTTGGCTCTGCCTAAAGGTGGACAAAACGGTGTGCATGGTCCTGTTACTTGTGTCCCATCAAATATTGTTGAAACGTGCAGTTTGTTACCACGTAGTAGTATGGAGGGGTCTTTGTTACCAGTAAAACTCAAGCGCAAACTCACGTATAAAGGCCATTATGATTATCAATTTGTTGACACAATGCATGTTCAGGACGCTCTGAAGTATTTAAAACATTCTAATTTGCATTATAAAGATGTTGAATTCAATGAATCTTGGATAAATGAGTTTTGTCGAGAGGACAATGATTCTGTCTTTGAGGAGAGTAGTTCAAAAGAAGATGGCGACACTTGTATTGATGAAAGTGATGAGATGTTGCATGATCGACAGCAACACTGTATGTTTCAGGACACTTGTCTTATGCCAGTTGATATTGGCCAAGAAGCATTGGATCAATATTATGACAAAATTTTGAATGTAGCCCCAGGTGAAAACAATAATCCTGTAAAATTGCTATCTGATTTTACAAATGAAGCCAAAAGCTTTCCTGTGTTGTTTCCTTCAGGATGCAATACATATCATGAAAATCGGAAATACCGTTTAACTTTGTCTCGTTATTTTAACAACAGACTTCTTCACGCTGATGGCAGGTTTGCCCATAATGTGGAATACATCTTTTTTGCTCAGTATATGACAGAACTGGAACAGGTCGTATCTAATGTATCAATAGCATTAAGAAAAGGCAAAACGTGTAAATCTCAAAATGTCAGTGACTTTGTCAAAGATGAGGAATCTTTAAAGAAACTGTTAGAATTTGATGATGGGTATCGTTTCTTAAAACCAATTAGAGGCACACCAGCTTTTTGGCAGTCAGCTCAAAAAGATATTCTAGCTTGTGTTAAACAATTAGGAAAGCCCACTTGGTTTGCATCGTTTTCGTCTGCAGATATGAGATGGACTAATCTTCTTTATAGCATTTTGAAACAAGAAGGCCGAAACCAGACTGTGGAACAATTAGAATATGCAGATAAGTGTGAACTGCTGCGCCGGAATCCCGTTACTGCTGCTAGGATGTTTGATTTCCGTTGGCATGTCTTCTTAAGAGAAGTTCTTATGTCTGCTGCAAATCCTATCGGTAAAGTAGTCGACTATTATTATCGTGTCGAATTTCAACAGCGTGGGAGTCCACATTGCCATTGCCTCTTCTGGATTGCCAACGCTCCAATCCTAGATCAAAACACAGATCAAGAGGTGGTTGCATTTATAGATAAACATGTGTCATGTGAGCTTCCATCTTCAGATGACTCATTACATGAAGTAGTTTCTTCTGTCCAGCAGCATTCAAAACGACATTCAAAGAGTTGTAAAAAGAAAAATACTGTCTGTCGTTTTAATTTTCCACGACCTGCTTCTGTCAGAACCTTTATTTGTCGTGGTGAGAAATTTCTGGATCCAGTCTGTCAATGCAACTTGAACCAAAAAGATGGTGTTCAACAGTGTGTATGTGCAAATAAGGAAAAGAATAACCAAAAGAAAATGCCAAGAGATGTTGCAAGTAATATCTTAACTGAAATTAAAAAAACAATATCAGATGAAAATTGTCAATATACTACGACAGAAGAAATATTTCACAGCTTGGGACTAACGCAAGAAATTTTTGAAATGGCATATGAACGATGTAGTCGAAATACTCAGGTTGTTTTGAAAAGAAACATTAACGAAATCTGGATTAATCAATACAGCAGGTCACTGTTAAAAGCTTGGAATGCTAATATTGATATCCAGTTTTGTGTTGATGCATATGCAGTTTGTGTTTACATAATCTCTTACATGTCTAAAAGTGAAAGAGAAATTGGCCTTCTGCTAGGAAATGCTCAAAGAGAAGCTTCCAAAGATGGCAATGTAAGTGCTAAACAGGCTTTGAAGACAATTGGTAGTGTTTATTTACACAATCGAGATGTTTGTGCACAAGAAGCTGTGTATAGATTAACCAACTTGCACTTAAAGGAGTGTTCTCGAAAGGTTGTTTTTATTCCAACCGGTGACAATGTTGTGAAAATGAGCCTACCAATTTCTGTCTTAAAAGACAAGGCGTCTTCAGATAATCTGACAACAGATGACATGTGGATGACCGGTCTTGTTGATCGTTACAAGAATAGGCCAAGTGATGATGTCTTTCAGGATATGTGCCTGGCAAAGTTTGCATCAGAATATCGTGTTTTGACCAAAAATGAAAAGTGCAAAAATCCAGTGAAGTTGAATAATGGTTTTGGTTTTGTTGCTAAAAGAACTCGAACACAACCAGCCGTTGTTCGATATGCGCGTTTCTCTGAAACCAAAGATCCTGAAAAGTTTTATCAAAGTGTTTTACAGTTATTCTTGCCTTATCGATTCGATGGTGAACTAAAACCTTTGAACTGTGAAACATTTCAAGACTTTTATAAAACTGGTTTAGTTCGATTCCTTGATGGTACAAGACATTCAGTGAAGGCTGTTGTAGATTCAAATAGAAGCCATTTTGAATTGGAATCCGACACCTTGGAAGCTGCAAACAATATTGTTGGTACTGAAATGCTGGAAGACGCATGGTGCGAATTATGTCCTGAGGTTGAGGTGGAACGGTTTGAGTGTTTGGAAAGCCAAAAAGAAACACGAGCAACATTAAATGATGAACAAGAACAAATACCAGATTTGAGTTTGACTGTTAAAGATGTTGCAATATTTCAGAACCAAAAAAGCATCAGTAGAGTTGAAGGTCTAGCATTGATTCGATCTCTAAATGAAAAACAATTTTCAGTCTTTTATCATATTAGGCAGTGGTGCCTAGACAGAGCAAATGGGAAGAATCCCGAATCTCTAAAAGTTTTTATTACAGGTGGTGCAGGAACAGGTAAAAGTCACTTAATTCGAGCCATTGAATATGAATCCAAAAGAATCTTCTCACCAACTTGTCAACATCCTGATAACATTTCTGTTGTATTGACTGCACCCACAGGTATTGCCGCATATAATTTAAAAGCAACAACCATTCACACAACATTTTGTATTGGAAAAGATGTACGCTTACCGTATACTCCTTTGGGTGAAGAGAAATTAAATACATTGCGAGCAAAATATCGTGATCTCCAGCTTCTTATCATAGATGAAATATCAATGGTAGATCACAATCTGTTATCATATATTCATGGTAGATTGCATCAAATAAAACAAACAGGAGACTTTTCACCATATGGAAACATTGGTGTTGTGGGAGTTGGCGATTTCTTTCAGTTACCTCCAGTTAAAGGCAGAGCACTGTATTGTGATGGCGTAGCTCGTTCTCTCTGGTCAGATTCATTTAAGATTGTAGAACTGACTGAAATAGTTCGTCAAAAAGATTCAGTGTTTTCCCAGCTGCTAAACCGGTTGAGGACTCGTTCCAAAGGAGTACCCATGTTAGCGGAAGATGTCCAAATTTTAAAACAATGTGAAACGGGGGAGCAAAGCTCAGCTTTACATATATTTGCAACAAATAATCAAGTAAATGACTACAATATGTCTCAATTACTTGAAAACTGTCCTGATTTTGTGTCAATCGCGGCACAAGATTATGTGAATGATAAAAAAACAGGAAAACTCAAATTGCTAGAAGGCAGTCACATAAAAGCCTCAAATACTTGTTTGACGGAACTGTTGCTATTGGGTAAGAGTGCACGTGTTATGTTGTGTAAGAATGTGGACGTGAGTGATGGGTTGGTCAATGGTGTATGTGGTACTGTAACCGAGATTATAATGAAAGAAACAAAAAAATTCCCTGAAAAGGTTTTTGTTCGTTTTGATGATGATTTCGT